TGATTAGTACCAGTAGTTGTGTTGGTTGTTGTCTATAAATAATCCAGGAACATAGAATTCCTATATGTAGTTCACAATAAAAAAATCACAACTCTATTCTGCATTTGATCTGTTCTTCCTATTATTTTTCTAACACATGGAACTGCAGAAGAGTTATGGTGTGATGTGGCGGATACTATAAGAAAGGTGGCAAAAGAAACCCTTAGAGAAACTAAAGGCACTAATGCAACAGACAAAGAATCATGGTGGTGGGACACTAGCATGCAAGAGAAGGTAAAGGTAAAGCAGGAACGTTTCAAGAAGTGGTCTTTATGCCATAACGTGGAAAGTTGGGAACAGTATAAGACGGCTAAGATGGAAACAAAAGTGGTTGTAAGTGAAACAAAAATGAGAGCATATGAGGGGTTTTGCAAGTCATTGGGTACGAAAGAAGGAGAAAGATGTAATTACGCCGAGGGAAGCCGACCTACAAGGCTGCCAGACCAGGGTGTTGCTTTCCAGGTCGGTTTCCATTTAAAACCTAATTGGAGTAGAGGGAAAAGCCACTGAATCCCGAGTTTCGACTCAGAGTTAGAGGGCTAAATGAGCTAGAAGCGGGTTATGGTTTCTGTAATACGAAGTATTAACCTTGCTATTCATTGCAAGGGGTCGAGAAAGAAGAATGTGGAATTTGGACCAAGTTAAGTGCATTAAAGACAAGAATGGTGCTAATACTATTTCTCATTTGTTAGCTTTGGTCGCTTATGTGCAAGCTAACATTGTATTGGGACTCGATCCCTCTTGATTTTGTTTCAGCCATCAAACTTTCCACTCAAAAATAATAATAAGAAGAATGGTGATGTTCAAGTCTCCAATGAAAAAGCATAAACGAGCGGTGGAAGAGCTACTTCAATGATTTGTTTAATGAGGGGCAAGTGAATCTCTCATGCTCTGATCAACTACGCATGAGGGAGGAGGACCAAACTTCAATTATTATCGGAAAATTCGAGAAACTGTAGATAAGAAGCCTTAAAACGGACAAAGAATAATTGTAGAGCAATAGGCCCAGACAACATCCCGATTGAAATTTGGAAAGGTTTAGGAGGAAAAGACATTTGGTGGCTAACTAAGCTTTTAACGAGATTCTAAGATCTAAGAAGATGCCTAACGAATAGACGAAGGTCATTTTGGTCCCTATTTAAAAAAAATAAGGGGGATATTCAAGGTTGTGGATATTCAAGCTCATGAGTCATACAATGAAGTTGTGGGAAAGAGTGGTTGAACGGAGGTTGAGACAAGAGACCAGAGACTTCAGTATCATAGAACGAATTTGGTTTTATGCCAGAATGATCATGTAGCTAATTACTTGGTGAGGACAATGATAGAGAGGTACCGAAGTGAGAAGAAAGATTTACACATGGCTTTTATTGACTTGGAAAAGGCATGTGACAGGCATAGTTGTGAATGGCGAATGGCGAGTGGTGGGCGAGAGGTTCTTTTTTATGGCGAGAAGCGTGGCGAGCGGTGGGCGGTCAAATGGCGAACATTATATAAATAAATTAATATATATATATATATATATATATATATATATATATATATATAGTTTAAGTCTAAACTTTTAGTCTTAACTTTGTATCAAACATAATTATCAAAGTAAAACATGAGTTATTGGTAAAACTTAAAACAAAAAACAACATTTAGTACTTAAAAAGAAAGCAAGATATTTAATCATAATCCTCATCCGTCAAATCCAAGCCACAAAAAAAAACAATAAGAAAACAAANCTGCGAAGAAGTGACTCGGCAGAGAGGGAAGAGGATCTGCGCCGGCTGAGGACAACTTCAGGATGGCATGTGGCTGAGTCCGGCGACGAGAACGGCGAGGAGAATTTGATCGACGGTGAGGGGCAGAGGCAGAGGCGAGTCAGATGAATCGATGAAGTCCTTCGATCGTCCAGTGATATAGGTCAGGTCAGCGGACTTAAAAAAAAAAGTCAATAAAAACCCTTGACCGGTCTGTCGTACATAGCGAACGCCTTTCGCCACAGCCCTTGGCGACGATGGCGACGCCTATGGCGAGAATGGCGTAAAACGCCTCGCCAGGCTAGAGGATGGCGTCAGAAGGCCGCCACAGAGCCATAAGCGCCTTTGGCGAGAATGGCGAGCGCCATTCACAACTATGGTGACAGGGTACAACGAGAAGTTTTGTGAAGGGTTTTAGAGAAAAAAGGAGTAAGGATTGCGAATATTCGTGCAATTAAGAACATGTACGGTGGTGCTACAAAGAGTGTGAGAAGTCAAAGTGGGGTAACAGGGGAATTCCCCATTGGTGTAGGATTACACCAAGGGTCACTGTTAAGCCCATAATTTTTACACTAGTATTGGGCATTCTTACTGAGCATATCCAAGAACGCGTACCATGGTGCATGCTTTTTGACGATGACATCATCCTTATGGGAAAATCACGAGAAGATTTGAATGGGAGGTTAGATTCGTGGAGAGAGGCTTTGGAGTTGCATGGTTTGCGCATAAGTCGCACTAAAACATCGTATTTGGAGTGCAAGTTTTTCAAAAAAAGAGAAATAGTAAACCGAAGTGAAAGTCAGAGAAAATACTATACCACAAGTAAAGATCTCTAAATATCTTGGGTGTATCATTTAAGACAATTGAGAAAGAGAGGATGATGTTAACCACAAGATTCAAGCCAGTTGGTCAAAATAGCGGAGTGCTTCGTATTTTATTACGATTAGACCAGCTATATTTTATTGTATGTAACAGAGTGCTCGGTAGCAAAGGGTGAACATGAAGACAAGGTTAGTGTGGCAGAAATGAAGATGCTTCGTTGGATAAGTGGTCATACGCATATGGATAAAATAAGGAATGAAGATATGAGAGCTAAAGTTGGAGTGACACTTATTGTAGAAAAGATGGTGGAAACTCGTCTAGGGTGGTTTGGACATGTGAAGAGATGACCAATAGAGCATGCGGTGAGAATGGTTGATCAAAAGGTGAATAGACATGTGGCTAGAGGAAGAGGTAGACCTAAGAAGACTTAGCAAGAAGTGGTCAAGGGGGGCCTTTGCATGAAACAGGAACAGATATGATACATCATAGGGCGCAATGGCGTCGTTTGATCCATGTAGCCGACCCCACCTAGTGAGATAAGGCTATGTTGTTCTTTGTTTGTTCTTAGCCCCTACATGAACAGTATTTTCTAATAGCCTACTACTTTCGAGTTACGATGCAGTGGACTTGGAAGGCAAACGTGTCACAACAATAGACGACAAAAAACTAATTTCACTTTAAGGACGGACCTTTCACATATGTTTGAGATAAAGAGAGATCAAGATTTAGGGTACTTAGAGCACAACAAGGTTTATCGTGATGTAAAATTAGATTTCCATCCACACATGTATTTTGTTGTGTTACAACGGCTTTTCGCTGAGTCCACTCATTGAAACTTGGTGGTAGCATGCTACCAACAAAATACCATTGAAGTAGATAATGGTAGTGGCCAAGAAACTAATATGTATTATTCATTTACTTGCGCTCAGTACCCTTAAAGTACATACTTTTATCATCCCAAAATCCTAATATTAATAATAATACTCCCTCCGTCCCAAGATGTTTTGCACTTTGCGCAAAACAAGGCAAAATTCAAGTTTTTTTAAAATCATTTTATGTAAAGATTGGCCTAGAAATAAAAAATGAAACTTACACATTTAAGACTACATCAAAACTTCTACAAAACAAGAGGTGAAATGAATATTTTATTTTATCAAATAATCAATGAAAATGCACAAATAAACAAAAGTTATCATGAATTTGGAATAGTGCAAAGTGCAATTCTTTTTGGGACGGAGGAGTAATAATAATTATTATTATTATTATTATTATTAAAATAATAATAATAATAATAATAATAAACTACTACTACCAATAATAAAAATATTTAGAGAGAATGTAGAACTAGCCCTCATTAGTGACAAGTGTGATAGGATACTCTGTTTGGCCATAACGTCTAGTGGAAGCACCTGTTAGAAGAGTGTGTGTGAATCTGTGTGTGCACGCAGATGTAGAAATGTTATTTATGAATTATGATGGGTAGAGAATATGTCGCTCAATCAAGACAAATGGTGTCACTTGATCCTTGTAGAAGACTCGATCTAGTACGCAACAACTTGTCTTGGCTTGGTTTAGTTTTGTTGATCCTCATGCCTACTAGATAAGGTGGACACATATAACACAAAACACATATGTTATCATTTGTCCAGTTAGAAGATGATGCCTTGGCCATGAGCATTAAGAGGTTATCATTCCAAAATAAACAGCTACTTGCTACGTATTTGATAACCAAATGTACTTTAACTGTTTTTAGTGTCATGATAAAGTCATAATAAATTTATACTGTAAGTATAAACTTCTCTGACAACATAAAGACTTAAGAAAAGCAGATAATAGCCCCACACAATATGCAGCGAAGTATCATAGCTTCCATGAATAGTGTAGGGAAAAAATCAAAGGCAAACAATAGAACGAGGACACATGCAAATTTATTTGATCACTACTCGAGCTAAGAATGTACTCATAATTTCCAATATCCAGTGTTTGTTTAAACATAACAAAGCACCAGATTTTTAATTTTCCACCATTGCCCATGGAAAGTTGCATTTTCGTATGAGCGAGTAATTTGACCATTGTTTCATGTTTTTTTAAACCCCTTGATGCATCTATGCAACTTCGTGGGACTTTACTGGGTTTGTTGTTGTTGTTGTAATGCATCTATGCAGCTGCAATTTTCACTTATATATTGTTGTTAATCAATGGCTCTTGTGTAAAAGAAAAACACATAATGCATTCCGTCAGACATTCCAAAAGCTATCTAAACCAGCGAATTTCATTGAACCAGAGCTCACGAGGTAGAAGTCCAAAGTTAACGGATTTTAAATCGAAATTAGGGAGAAAATATAGATTTGTAAGCAAAACACAAGTATATAAATGCATGATAGAAGGACTAACTGTGTCGGAGGGCTGAACCGTAATGTCAAAGTGACTGCCCTTCAAAGTTTTGACAGTAAGCTTCATCTCAGCCGAACGACGGTAAAACGGCCGGAAAAGCAAACCCTTATTTTCGGAGAAGAATTGCAAATGTCGCCCCGCCTCAAGCAGATCGGGAAATAAATTGTCCGTATATGAAAAGGAAGAAAAGGGGACATTTGCCTGGACGTATTTAACAAAAAAAAATTAGCAAATTACATCAGATTAGATCTGATCTTATTTTTTCTACTTATTATTTATTCTAATTATAGTCAAATTAGATCAGATTAGATCTGATCTGATCAAACCAGATCTAAATAAAATTAATATTATTATTTTTATTATTATTACCATTATTATTAGTATTTTATTACTATTACTATTAATATAATGATTATAATTATAAATACTTTTATTATTATTATTATTACTATTAATATTAATACTCCAAGTAAAATTAATATTATTATTATTATTATTACCATTATTATTAGTATTTTATTACTATTACTATTAATATAATGATTATAATTATAAATACTATTGTTATTATTATTATTATTACTATTAATATTAATACTCCAAGTAAAATTATTATTGTTACTATTATTATTATTATTAGTATGATTATTATTATTATTACTATTACTATTCTTATTATTATTACATTTATAATTACTATTGTTATCATTGCTATTGCTACTAGATTCTAACACGTACGATGCACGACGAGAACATTATGTGTACAATGATAAATAATATAAAACACGAAAATATCTCATAACTAGTTATGTAATGATAACTTACAAACTTTCACATGTATACTAATTTTATGTATAATATATGGAGTAGTAAATTGCATGATATTAGTTAAATAAAAATATATAATTAAAAATTCTGAAAAACTTCTTTATAAAAAACATTTCAAGTATAATCTAGTCCATTTTTTTCTTCATCGCAACTCAAAATCTTCAAAATTTGTGATCTGTGAAATAGCAGCATAAAGTTGACCGTTGTTGAAGGCCAGTTTTTTATAGGTAGACAACCTTGCATTATGAGATTGAGACGTGGCGGTTACATTAAGTGATGCTTGGAGAGAAAAGTAATTGGTAGACTCCAATGAACTAATCCCATCAAATTGCCTTATGGTCAGTACTGCATAATTAACATGTCAGAGATGTTGATTTATAATTAAATATGATTTTTATAATTTTTTTAAATTTAATCTTTATAATTGTTTGTAAAACATATTTAATTACCATTAGTTTTGTTAATAGATGGGGTCTGTTTTCTGACAATCATTTGCATTGAAGATGTCTATATATAGGGTAAACTCCACCCGCTACCATGTGAAGTACACAATTTTTACGGCTGTGATTGTAGCATTATGACCATGCATTTTGGTATGTATCAAAATATTTTTTTACAATGAAAAGTAAATGTTTCTAAATCAAAAGTTTGACAGAATGTTTATATAGTGATATATTACAATTTTTAGCTTTTGAGATTAAAGTTTACAATTTAAAATAAAAAATTTGTAGTAACTTGTTTAATATTTACAAATTCAAACCGGAATAGAAGTGTATAAATCATATTCTCCGTCTTAATTTAAATACTTGTTATTTACGAAGTCAAAGTTTAGTAATTTTTTTATTAATTTTTATTACACATTTGATAAAATAATATAATAATGTCAACAATTATTTTCAATAATTTTTATTTAATTTTTAAGTATGTTACATTTATTTTTTTAATTATAACCCTAGTTAATATAAATTTGAATAAGAATAAATTTAAATTATTGAAAACCCACCTCAAGCTAATCCATTTTAACCCAGCCCAAAGATATTCCAACCCATTAGTATTCCTAGCCCATTTAAAATGGGCTTTAAACACCTTCCGTCTTTTTCCTTATCATATTCCGCCTCCCTCCCTCCCTCACTCCCCCCCCCCTTCTCTCTCTCAAATCTCCTCTATTCTGCATAGGCCTGGACACGGTACCGGTGCGGTACCGTCACTGGCGCCGGTACTGCCGGTACCGAGTACCGTCACCATCACTGGAGACGAGCAACCGGTTCCTAGAACCGGTACCAGTACCGTCTCAACCGGTACCGTGTCCGGTTCCCAATTTTCGTCACCGGCACTGCCGATACCGGTACCGGTGCCGGTTTAATTTTTTTTTTCTTTTTTTTGCTCCTGCCAACGGACACCTGCAAAAAAAAAAGAAAAGTCAGTGGGGGGCTGGCCTCAACGGCTCTTGAGCCGTTAGAGGGGGGGATGGGGATTGGGGAGGGGAGGGGGAGGCTAAAAAAACATTATAAATACCCCTTTTTTTCATAAAATATCACACTCAAAATCTCAAATACTCAATCCATCTCTCATTCTCTCAAATCTCAATCTATCATTCTTAATTTCTTAATTCTTATCAATCATTATTAATTTCTTAATTCTTATCTATCTTTTTTAAATATATTATATTTTAATATATAAAATTTCGAAATTATTTGAAATTTTCGAAATTTAATATATCTTTAATATCAAAAAATATATAATTTATATTTTAAATATATTCTCTATTATTTATTGAAATTTTCGAAATTTTAATATATAAAGTTTCAAATTTTTTTTAAATTTTCGAAATTTAATATATTATTTTTTTATATCAAAAAATATATATATTAAAATGTCGAGAGAGTCCGGTAGAAGGTCCGTGGATATGGGCGCCGTGAACCGAAGTTTGAGGAGAGGCAACCGTAAAGCCACCTCCGACGGTTCGACCTCACGCGGTTCTCGAGGAAGACACTCCGTCTCTTCCTTTCCTACTATCCCCGATCACTTAATCGGGGACGCTATGACGGATGGAGAATTTGACCAGATTTATTCTGGTAGAGGGGACGCTAATCTCCCCACTCTTGATAGTGTATTCGAAGATCTTGATGAAGCAGGACTGGATAATCTAGACGGGGACGAGGAGCATACACCACAGAGCAACGACGTCGATGTGGAGGCAGGTGAGCCCGAGACCTCTCGAGGTCTGGACAAAGGTAAAAAAAATATAAATCAGATTTATTTGTTTATCATTTTGACAAAGACACAAAAGATGGCATAGTTTATGGAACTTGTAAACATTGCGGGACCGTCATAAAAATGGGAGTTTCCGGCGGTTATGGCGGTCCGGAAAAACACCTAAGGTCGAGGCATCCCGTGGAGTACGCCAAATACGAGGCAAAAAAGAAGGGACGACAAGAAGTGCAAACCCAAATTTCTCGGTTTGCTAACAGAGGTAAGGGCGGCCTTTTTGCTTATAGCGACGAGCAAAATAAGCAAAAAATGGCCGAAATGATTTGTGAAGAAAATTTGCCATACATGTTTTCTGAAAAACTTGGTTTTATTGATTATTGTCAACAGGCATTTAACCCTCAAGCACGAGGATTTTTCAAGAAAAACAATTAAACGAGAAATTATTCGCCAGTATAAAATGGAAAAACTTAATTTGGCAAATTTTTTTTCTCAATTTTAATTCTCGTGTTGCTATTTGTTCTGATATTTGGGGTGAAACTTATCATAATTTGTCTTATATGGGTGTTACTTGTCATTGGATAGATAGTGATTGGATTATGCATAAACGTGTTCTTGCATTTCGTGATTTCAATGATCAGCATACTGCTGAAAATATTTTTCTATTGCTTCAGAGTATTCTGCGGGAATATAACTTATCTGAAAAAGTTTTTTCATTTGGTTTTGATAATGCTACTAATAATACTGCTGCTATTCCTAGACTTAGAGAAATTTGCACACCGTCTACGACTATGAGTAGATTTCTGCATCAACGGTGTGCGTGTCATGTTTTAAATTTATGTGTTCAACAAGGACTAGAAGCTATGGGCGGAGTTTTGACAAATATTAAAGAAGAAATTAAAAAAATTTGGGGGGCTCGTCTTATTTCGAGGTCCTGAAAGATGTTCTGTAAGTCTAAGGGTAAAAAAGAAATAAGTTTTGTCAGAGATATCAACATTAGATGGAATAGTACTTACAAATTGATTGCACAGATCCTAAGATATAAAGAAGAACTTGCTGAATTTTTTAGGGATGAACTTCGTATAATCATTAATCCTTTTGAATTTGTTATTGTTGAAAAATTGAATGCTGTATTAGAAGTTTTTAATAACGCAACTCTTACTTTTTCCCATATTTACCAACCAACTACAAATACATTTTTTAAAGAGTGCATTACAATCGCAACATGTTTTCGTGAAAGTATGGCTGATCCAGATTTGTACCCTTATGTCTCTCCTATGAGAGATAAATGGTGTACTTATTATTTGTACATTCCTTATATTTATAAAATAGGTATTATTTGTGATGCACGATTTAAGATTGAAAATTTTAAAATTCTAATTGAGTATTACTACAGTTGTTTTTTAGATAAAAATAGTTATTACTACAGCTATTTAGTAGAATGGAAAAATGAAAGAGATAATGCTATAACTCTTTTTGAGGATTTGTTTAAGGAATATCAAGGGTTATACGGTACTGTACAAGAAGAAACAGCACCACCTCCGCCCCCGAAATCAAAAAAAGGTTTTGCCGGAATAGTCGGTGGCCTTCTTGCAAAGAAAGGGAAGCGTGCCCAGTCTTCGACGAGTTCAAGTGGTACAACAGTAAGCTCGCACAACGAACTTGCTATGTACCAGGGTGTGCCATGCGATTACGATAACGACGACGTCGATTTTGACGTGCTCGGATGGTGGAAACGGAACGAACACATGTTCTCATGTCTCGGCATGCTAGCAAGACAAGTGTTGTCCGTCCCGGTATCAACCGTAGCAGTTGAACGAGAATTCAGTGCTGGTGGCAACATTCTAACTGACTACCGAAGTTGTCTTAACGCTGAATCTCTTGAAACACTGGTTTGCAACCAAGATTGGCTCTTGGCAAGACGTCGGGCTCAAGAGTCATCGTACCAACTCGAATCGGAGCATTACATGAATGCAACCACAGATGGAAGTCCGAGTTCTGAAGAATAAGTTATAATTTTTTTTTATGTTAATGTAAATATGTAATTAGTTTTTTAGGTGAGCGATATATATGTTCCTTCGAGGGTTTCTTTACGGTTCTTTACCTCGTCGCTTTTTTTGAATCGTCAGGATATTAAATGTGGTTGTTTTTCAGTTAGTGTATTACTCATTTTCAATATTTAAATAACAACTACATTTTTAGATTTTTTATTTCATTCTTTCCTTAAACAATTGCAAATTTACAATTTTATACTTTAAAAATTTTAAAAAAAGCAAAAAAAAAAATAGGGGGGGTGCGAACCCGGCCGGTCCGGTACCGGAACCGCCGGTCCGTGAACCGGAATCGGTACCGGCCGGTCCGGTCACGGTACCGGTGCCATGGGGTAGCGGTACCGGAACCGGAACCGTCCCAGAACCGTACGGTGTCCACCCCTAATTCTGCCCCTTTCAATTTACACTCCTAATATATAATTTTACTTGTTTGTAGAATTGTAGGTTTAAGAATGGCAAGATCAATAGATGTTTCAGATATTTCCATCGTTTTTTATCGGGATTCGATTGTTTTTAGAAGGAATTTTTCTATTTTTTACTGTGCATGCTATCATCCTCTTGAGGTGGACCGATTCTGATCGAAAGTGATGTTTGCAGGTTTAGGTTGAGCTCGATAATAGTTTTTTTCATAATAATTTGCCTTTTGCTGGTATATATTTTGATCGAGCAATATGCGTATATTAAAGCCAGTTCTATGTCTTATGTAGTAGACATGAGAATTCCACTATCATTAATTTTTTAAACAGAATGGTGTGGTGTTTATTCATATGGAAGAATAATCTAAGATAAAGACTTTATTTTTGTCTCTGATTCAAAATTAGAGATCTGAATTATTATGTCACTATGCTGATACTCCTAAATTTTTTATGCTAGATATTCCCGTGTTGACGCATTTTGATAAATAATGCAGGGTAGAAAATAATGATTTATTTTGTTTTAATTCATTACTGGCTTTGAAATATAAATTGAGTACACTAATAATACTAAGTTTTTCTGTGCAGGTACAAATTCCATAATTGATAAGTGTAGGTACACTTTGAATTGCTCTTCTGCTTAGCACTATTGGTCACCAAAGGTAGAATAGTGGAATCATATTCACTACGTAGATTTTTATCACTCTTTCTAAGTTTCTTCATTGTGTCAGACTTTTGTCCTTAGACAACATCTTTGAAGAAATATAACATTAGAGTATAAGCTTACCAAAAAACATTACAAAATAAATCCAGTAGTTATGTATTTGAAAGAGACAAATATAAAAACTTAAAATTCATTGTTGTAATGTTTTATATACTTGGTAATCTGTTATGATGAAAAGCTTCTATCAATAGAGTGCTCCGTATATATAACATAAGGTGGTAAGAAATTCATAGGTTTGGTCTGTTTAACTGGTTTTTAGAAATAATAATTCAGAGAGGTGGTTTAAAGCGTGCATCTAAAAAACACCCACTTCAATCTCAAAAATCATTCGCTTATACTTTTTTTATTAGACTAAACAAAAAAAGTATTTTTTTAATATTCATCTCCTCTCTCTTTCTCTCTGTGTTGTATGTGTCTTTTATATATATATATATATATATATATGTATGTATGTATGTATGTATGTATGTATGTATGTATGTATGTATGTATGTATGTATGTATTGTATGTATCCTTATTATATATGTAAAAGAGGGTTACATGCTTGGAGTGTTGACACGTGTATCTGACGTGGAGCCAACGTTTAAATGAAACGCCATGTTGGACAGAGCCAACGTGTAAATGAAACGCAAGGTCTATAGGTTTTCGCCCTCTGCAGTTTTCGTCCTCTGCATTCCAAAAACGCCAGCCGCCATCTTACCCATGACGGTAAGGTTTTCCAACCGGCAGTTACGTTTGATCTATTCGGGTGCGGTTCAATTACGCAGACATTTAGGGCGCGGCGATATTTTTCATGTCTTTCCAGATGCCCTCTTTCCGATTACATGGGATATTGGTTTACCCTGCGTTTAAGGTGAGTAAATTTTCTTGCAATTAATCGGAATTATGTGCGTTTGTGCCTCTTGGTTGATTAGGGTTCTACCAATGTTGTCTCCATGTATAAATAAACTCATGATTTGGGTGTTAGCCTGCACTACCATACAGTGAGTTTGTTCCCACAAGTGTTTGTCTTAGAACTGTTTTTTCCCATCGAAGATGTCTTCACCCATATCTGCTTTATTCAACAAGAAGTTGGATGATGACATTCCTATTCAGAAACTAACGCGTGAGTCTACCAATTAAGCGATTAAGGTGCGCGTTTCTCGATTGTGGGATGTATACCATTTCCAGAAGAAGAATGAATTAATTAGCACTGATATGGTGCTGATTGATGAGGAGGTACTGTTTTAAGTATTTTGCTTATGGCTGTTTTTAAAATTCTTTTACCAACATGTATACTTTTTACTCTACAGAGGTCGTATATTCATGCAAGCATCAAAGGCAGTTTTGCACATCTATTTCGTAATTCGATTGCCGAAGGTAGAGTTCATTATATTAAACAGTTTGCTGTTGTTGATAACAAGGATCGGTATCGTGTTGTTGGAGACAACAAACTCATGCTTCAGCTGCATGCAACTTCTACCGTTATTAAACTTTCTGGTGAAACATCAAGGATCCCAATGCACCGCTTTGATTTACTACCATTTGATAAGGTTGTGACATGAATGAGGCAAGATTATATTCTTACAGGTAATATTTACACACGAATGAGTTTAAGACATTTTCAGATTTAAATGAACGTTTCAATACACTAACAAGTCCTACATTTGTGCAGATGTAGTTGGTCGTGTTTGCTGTGAGGGTGAGATTGAGGAGAAGCACATCCAGGATCGTAAGGTCCCTTGCCTTATGCTAGAACTGGAGGATGTGAGGTAAGTGCTGCGTAAGTGCCTTGCCTTATGTGAGTCTTTTAAGAGAAGTACATAAATCCTACATATCGTGTGTTTGGTGTAATTTAAGGTTTTCCCACAAAATATGAATCCTTAGGAATGATAAAGTGAGGTTGACTTTGTGGGGTGAGTGTACTGTGCAATATATGGAGCAAAAGAAAGCTGTTGAAGGGAGTATTATTGCCGGTGTTTTCACATCCACTATGGTCAAGGAATTCATGAGTGCGTCGTTTATATTCATATCCATTACAGTTTGATATATATATGATGTTTTTTCCCATGTTTTTTGACTAAATCTGTGAAATCACAGGTTCACCTACTTTATCTTCTACCACGGCGACGAAAGTGTTCCTGAACATAGACATTGATGAAGTTTTAGCTTTAAAAAACAAGTATGCAGTCCTTTTTATTACATTATTATTATGATACATTAAACTCATCTTTATTATGCTGCATTTCATTCCTGTACTCATGATGCCCTTTAATATTAAACTACTTGGTAATGATTCAGCTGTGAAAAGGACTCCACAATTAAACCACTCATCTTCCAAAAACCAGTTATCAACAGAGACACTATTTTAGCGGGTTTAAGGAATATTTCAGAAATTCTTCGCATTGCTTCGACTGATTTTGAAGCCGTAAGTGTATGGAAAGTACATGATGCCAAAATTATGTATAGCATATGTTTATGTATAGCATATGTTTTCTTTTTTGACAAAATTAAACATCAACAGGGATCATCGTTTTATTGCCATGCCGGACATGCAAGCGATTGATAAAATCATGTGGAGATAAGTTTTGGTGCACTAAATGCAATAAAATAGTGGATGATGTTGTACCGCGGTATGCACAAGGCTTAGCAAATACTTTAAAGACGTTTACCCGGTTGGCAAACATTGATACTCTATGCTTTATTTGAAGCAGGTATCGCTTAGATGTTGGGGTGAAAGATGACAGCGAGTATACTCAATTTATAATATTCGATACCGAAGCTGAGAAGACTATGGGCCAAATAGCAATGAGCGTGTACGATATACAAGAGAAAATGGAGGTATTTACCAACACAAATGAAAGAATGTAAAGATTAAACCCCCCCTGTTGTGGAAATTTTATATTAAAAAAATTATTACTTTAAGGGCAATGAAATTGACGGGGAGGTGCCAGCGTTGATTGCCAATCTTATTGGGCGTTCTTATGTATTTCGTGTTAAACTTACGGAATACAACAAGACAGCTTATAAGCAGAGTTTCACTGCCACACACGTCTTTCCAGAATCTTATCTAAGAAGTAATGAAAAATCCCAGGTATTATGGATGTTAATTTATTCATAACCATTCTTTACATATGATTTCAAATTTTATCTTTCAACTCATGTCCCCCATGAAATGTAATTTTTGTTTAGCCATAAATTTTAATGAAGCAAATGCAAACACAGGAATGTGGGAATGCACCCAGCACCTCTCGAAAAGATTATATTGATGACTCCCCAAGTAACAAGAGATGCTTAAGGTCTGAAATTCAATTTGTTTTAAATTAGCAGAATGACCATGTTTGACACATTCATTAAATTTTATTCATTTACATTTAACACAGTGAGGACGGTACTCATCGTGTGGGGAAAGCAATTGAAGAATGAAAAGCTGAATATGCCACGTCTTCATCACCTGCTCTATGGACAAGAAATTTATATTACTGCAAATAAAGGAGTACTCTCCCAGAAACAACTGAATCTGCTATAGGCTGCTTCGGTTTCTTTAATTTTAATGTTGTTTTTCTCATTTTATGAAGGATACTTCCGAAACATATGTTTCCTTTGCATTATCTAATACAAATCGCATGTTACTTTGAAGGTTTATTGTTTTTAGTCCGAAATTATATAAAGCTCCTCAATTTAAGTTTAATATCCAGCGTATATACACAGTTTACATCCTATGGTAACAATCCAGAGTTTAATAAAACATATGCATCATTCAAAGACCTAGAAACAAAACAAATAGATATTACAGGAAACAAATAAACATGCCCATTTCATAGAAGAACTTATTACTATTATTGAGTTCATGAGATCGGAAAGATATGGAAATTTCAGAAAATACTAAAAGTAGTAAAATAAAAAGTATATACTTTGTGTTCATAACTATGCCATACAACAACAACAGACTGAATGTATTCTTAAATTAACGCCAAATGTTTTGGTGCACATATTTACAATATTCCAATTTCTAAAGTAACAAACTTGGCAGAAAGTTGAGAACCCCGGCACAGACCCCATTCAATCTTAAAACTGGAAACATAGGCCTGTATCAACCTGTCTTCACACTTCAAGCAGTTGATTATTCAACAATCATACTCTGGATGCAAACACTGTGTAATTCATGGCCATGTAAGAATGAATCAGGTAGGTGAGTAAAACTGAAATGAAAAATTGAAGCACTATTAGTGAGTTGTAGTTTTTTCTTACTATGTTTACTCAAAGTAAAACTTACTCAACTGAAATTAAGCACTGTTGTATTCAGAAAGAATGATCATACGTCATACAGGATGTTTACATACTATTGCATTTTCCAGTACTCATCATTTGTGAGTAAATACGAACATGGTAAGACGAAGAGTAAGCCATTCTGGACCTACACAGGATTGTCAGAACGTTAGTGCTCAAAGAAAGTAAGATGGGGAGCAATTTACTAAAGCAACCAAGTAAGTAAAAGTGGGCTATCTTTTTTTTCGTTTATAGTATCCTTGGTTTCCATGTTATATGCTGTTTCATAAAATATTCTGTTTTAATAATATTTATTATTATGAGATTGTGATGTTCTTTTTTGTTTCTTCATTTTGGTTTACCTGTTGCGGGGTTTCGTTAGTTAGAGCATTTTTTACGCTCATACACTGAATACAATAGTGATAGTAATCATTATTTTTCTTTCATACCTGAGTTTCATGTGTGTGGAGGATTAATTAATATTATGCTTTAAGTATGGTACACCCATGTCTTCTGGTTTGTGTATCTCGCTAGCAGTATTGCTAACAGGTTTTAGGCTTCTTCGATAAACTCCACTTAACATGTTACTATGATGACGTTCGTACACTCCTTGGTTTCTTATACTTTCTCGCACGTACATACAGACTCTACTTTCCCTTCATGTCTCTGACGAGAAAATCAGACCAGGCAGCTGCCACTGTCTACATATATTTCTACCCTGCGACAATGAGTTTTTTTTCTTATTTCTCGCAGGTTATAGCCCGTGCCAATCTAAGAGTACTCAATCTTCATCTTCTGAGTATCTTATGACTGCCATCAACTGTTTCTCCCCTTGATCATCTTCAAGTTTTATAAAAATTATTCTAGCATTACTGGTTAGTAGTTCTAGCTTTGATCATTCTTTTCTTTGCTCTGTATCCCAGGTTAAACAGAATGTCCATGGAGGAGCTGTGTGTTTGGGACATCCTTTGGGATGCAGTGCGGCTACGATCTTGGTTACTTCGCAAGGGGTATGCAGTATTCTATTAGTGATTCAGTGTTTCAATTGAATCTGCGATTCAGTCTTTCTAACTACTATAAAGCATATTTAGTTAACCAACCTGAAATTTATCCACGTTTTGTTTTTTGTATGTGTTATCATCTGCCTGAGTCTTTGTGTCTTGGCCTCATCCCTTAAAATAACCAAAAGAAGGCATCACTTCAATTTGGGTACAGGAAATCGAAGACAATTCAACCTGCGCATGATTTTAAGGAAAGAATTGAGAAATTCTTTCAGTGAGCTTAGGTGTCTTTGTATTTATACCTACATCTCATTGTTGTTGCAGGTTCATTCACCTTAGGGTACAAGTATAATTCTTCTTCCTCATCATTCATTATTTTTAATTTTAGCATCACTTTATTCTTTTAAGCCCGAAGGTATTAGTTTTCAACCCTTTTGGTGAAGTGTCTAATACATGTAGAGGCCATGACAACTGTAATCTGGTACGGATAGTAGGACATGTGACCATGTGGGTATGTTCACGTGACTTGGCCACTTGATGTTGGCTTTGGGTTTTAAATACTGTTTGCAGATAGGATGTTTCATATGAATAATTAATTAAAAAAGAAGGGGACTTTGTTGTGTGATGACAACTGGCAGTTGTGAATGTGTTTAATTCAAATTTGTCTGGCAAATAGTTTCAAGTTTTGAGGTTGTGGTTCTGAATGCTTTAAGGTTATAGGGACCACATTGGGGTTTTATAAAGCATAGATAATATTATTGATCTCATCTTTGTTTCCCCGCCATTTTCCTATCGAATTCTATATTACAGCTGAGTAAGTCTACCTGTATAAAAATGCATTTCTTATGGTATAGTTTTTTTAGGATGCAAAACATGGAACAACTACCGGAGTGTCAGCTCATGATAGAGCAACAACAATATTGGCTCTTGCATCAAAAGGTTCTGTGCCTCAGGATTTCAACAGACCTGGTCATATATTTCCCCTGAAGTACCAAAAAGGTGGGGTCCTAAGAGCTGGGCATACAGAAGCTGTTGTTCATCTTGCAATGCTATCTGGGTTAGAACCGGTTGGCGTTCTGTGCGAGGTTGTGGATGATGATGGTTCTATGGCTAGGTTACCTAAGCTTCAACAATTTGCACAGACTAATGGAATAAAAATTATATCTATTGCCGATTTAATCAGGTCGGTCAAGTATACATTTTAAATGATCCTTATATGATATAACTGTGTTATAGCGTATGCCAAATTGCAATTCCATTGGTGAGTATAGATCATGTATGTTTCATGCTATTTCTAACAATGTCGCTAGAATCACACAAATGAAGACTGAATCTGAACCTGCCAAATTGATTTATGCTATGTTTGAACTTCAAATGAAATCCAATGTCAAAGGTTGTTATTTTGGTGGTGTGATACTTTGATGCTAAGATTGCAAATATAAATTCTTTTGTGTCTGTCTTGAGCAAGCAACTGTACGGAATAATTTGAACTTGACAAATTTTTTTGCTTCAATGCTGAAACTTTTGTGCACTAGGTTCACAAATTATGAGTAAGGCAGCCATTTTGTTGTCTACTGTCCAGAAGAAGCAGCAGCAAAGGCAAAAGGTTTCGATGGAAAATGGCGGCATTACAGTCCCTGACACACCCCAACCTAAGTGGGTGTCTTCTTCTTCTTCCATAACTGACACTCTATATGTAACCGCTGCGCACGACAGGATTGTTCCATCTACATATTGCACGACTCCCCATCATCGTCAGACTCCAAACCACCACAGTGGTGGTGTGCCACCATTCAGCGCTGCTGCTAAACTGGTGCAAGAATACACTTCTTCAGCTCCAGGGAGTCCTCGCTCAGAAACCTCAACAGCAAAACATGAAGACACAAATGAGGTTTAAAGTTACAAGCCACTGTCTGATTTAAGGTTCTGCTCTGTCTTTCAAACCACGATACTGGATACTCCATTAAAATAATATAATGCCACATACTCCCTGGCACTTACATTAACCAAACAAACCTTTAATTTCCAATTACTTATTTCAGGTTACCATACCAAAAGGCTTCACAAAATATTATGTTGGCAATAAAGCTTATTAAATAAGAAAATTACTATGTGACAACCATATTTATTGCTATGCTTTAAATCAGAATAACTTCACATTTCAATGCAGATCCAGGAAATGGAAGGCCAATAGCCACACAAAATATCTTCATTTCTACCTTCTACAAACTACACCAAAACCCACAAAAGACTCCATACTGGACATGGACAGGAATGAAGTAATTCAGGAATGGAGAGCATCTTGCAAACAAGCCCACAAACGAAGAAGACTAATTGTTGAAGAAAAAAGAAACAAATCTACACAATTGACCCCATCAGCCACAAGAACCAGGATACAACACTAGAGTACTATCTCAAAATTAATGATGTATAAACCTCCATCTATTCGCAATGTGAAACAATAATATCTTCATCATATTGCAGGTTCTATTAGAAGACTTGAGCCAAAACCCCAGCCTACTGTATACCAAGGTAACTACAAATACTGTACATATAACGCATTAAACTTTACAAACAATATATATATATATATATATATATATATATATATATATATATATATATATATATATATATATATATATATATATATATATATATATATATATATATATATATATCTGTGTGTGTGTGTGTGTGTGTT